TGAATCTAATGGTCTAATTTAAAACTAACTTTAACTATTAAGTTTATTGAGAAATTGATAAATACATTCAAGAAATTGACTAAATAAATTAAATAACTAAAACTTATTTTATAACAATACATACAACTTTTATAATTGCTAAATAAATCATTGCATATTACAAATCTGAAATAAAATTTCATATTGTATTGTAATTTTATAACTAATTACACTATTTTTTTTAAATTCCTACTAGGCAAAAACATTGTTTTTGATTTACTTAACTCATTTTTATTTACTACCTTATAAAAAAAATCATCGTTTATAATCTATGCAATGTTATATACATAATTATATTTATTATCAAAACTATTTATTATTGTTATTGGTCTTATATTTTTATTTAAACATTTATTATATTATATTATATTATTATAATTCATTACAATAATATAAGTTTCATTTACTATTAGTAACTCTAATTTGGCCATCTTATTGTTTTTTTTTCATATAAATTTTTTTCATATTTTTCAGTATTATTATTCAAAGAATATTTGTTCAAGACTGGAATTCACAAACTTGCATCTTTTTAATTAGTTTGTTTTATTGTAAAAAGCTTTTCAAATTTAGATCGCATGATTGCAATATTGATTATATTGTATTGATGTTGCCCTCACATTGAATAGATAATCTAAAGTTTTATAATTAATAAATATATATAAAATATTATTTTGTTAATATTTTTTTGAACTTATTTTTCTTGAAATATTATGCTTATAATAATAAATATACTATATCTATAGTATTTGTAAAAACTTGCTGCAAGATATGTTTGTAAAATGTGTTCATCATTATTATTTATTTTTTCATTACTTCTTTTTAGAAGTGAAGTCTTAATCAATTTTGTCTTCATATTTCCATTAATATTAACTTCTAATTTATTACAGATTAGCTGATCATAAAATTGATAATATTGATATTATGAAATCTGTAATATGACCAGGTCAAGGTTCCTTCCTTCTGTAAATTAATCATACTTAGTCTCTTAGATACAATGATCATATACTAATTAGAGTTACTTAGCTCAAATTGTCAGAAGAAACTGAAACTTAGAAAAAGTTCTTTCAGATGATAAGGAAGAAAACGCTAGTATAAGAATAGTCACTAAGGTCATAATACTCATAAAGATCATAAAAGTAATTAAGGTCATAAAGGTAATAAAGATTACTAAGATAATAACTATTATAGATATAGAATATGAATATATATATAGTAAACTTTGTTATAAATAAAGGCCATGTTGGCTTTTTAAGACAATATTAAATATCTTTTTTGCTTTAATCAACATAAGACTCTAATATCCAAAATAATAAATTCACTAAAACTCCTAACTACTGAATCCATTATATTAAATACTTCCCCTCGAATTATTGAAACTCTGTTTAGCTATTGTATTATAACATACTAGAATTAGCTGTAGTTTATTTATTTTTAACTATCTAAAGTAGTGTGATAGTTATAGTTATATTATTGTCTAATTACCTAAAGTAGTGATATAATTAAGGTTATAAATAATAAAGAATCAGTATAAAAGAAACCCAAGACAAGTAACAAAAGAAGACTTATCTATGAATATCCAAACTACTCACCAAATCTAACATACCTCTAATGATTAAGCTGCCCATAGATCCTGTAGATTAGTGTTGTTTATTATTGAGAGATAAGGAATGACTAATTACAATATCTTATAGCTCAAAAATGATGATTAAATTTTTTTTTTTTTTTTTTTTTAGGATAGTCAATAAAAATAAGTCAAATGATCAAAAACAATATTTTTGCTCTTACTAGTAGAAAGTAGGACATCATATAGTATAATTCTAACTGTACTTTAAATGCTATTTATTAAATATAGTAATAAATTCTAATAAACTATTAGAAAGAATCTAATAAGTACTATATGATAGTTGCTTAAATAGATTATTAACTCAAATTATTTATAAAAAACTTCAGTGCATTTCCTAAATATCATCTATATAGTAAAAGTATATAAATTAGTATGACTATTTTTAAAAAGACAAAAGCAAAATAAAAATCATATCAAAATAAAAAAAATGATTTAATGCTTAGCATTAATAAGGTTTTATTAGGCTGTATAAAATTAATTGCTTCTCATAAGAATTTTAAAATAACCTGTATCTAGCTTTTTATAAAACTTAATAAAAAGCTAACCTAACCAGTTATGAGAAATAATCAATTAACTTCATATGGACTTTTTTATACATGTTACATTATATATTATGTGAGTAAATTATGCAAATAATATTTTATAAACATACTAGACTATGTCTACCTAAAACTATATATATAAATTATGTACTGCTATACAAATATTAGTTTACAATGCTACAACTTACAAAAAGGCTAAAACAAGTGAATAATTTGCCAAGAAAATAAGGTTGTTTTGAGTCTCAAAATGAAGTATAAGAAGTTACTGATATTTAAGAAGAACCTGCATTGACAGTGCAAGAAGTTGATGAAGCTATAAGTATAAAAAAAAAGATATATACTAAGACCTCAAAAACAACAATCTGGTAACAAAACAAAAAAATAGATTAAAAAAAAAAAGTTGAATCAAATAATATACTATTGTTGCTTAATGTTGAAGCATCAAGTAATATATCATTACTCAATATTAAAATATCGAATAATATACTATTACTCAATATTGAAATATTGAATAATATACTATTACTCGATGTTTTTTTTTTTTTATAACACCAAAATAGAAACTTTATTAATTGAAATTATAGAGTTAAGTCTATATGCTTTAGTTAAGATTTCTAAAATATTTGTGCTACATTTAAGACACCCAATATGATATTATATCTCCTATTTCCCAGAAAGATTAAATTAATAATTTCAAATTAGATTTAAGCAAAGAATAGATTAGGAGAAAAACCTTAAGGTGTTGGTCTTGATATTATAAAATACATGTAGAAAGAGAAAAGCTATATAAAAGCTAGTTTTTTATAAAATTAGAAGTATCTAGTAATAGTTGTGATTGGGTTGTTTGAGGTAATTTTGGTTCGAGTAGAGTTGAAAAAGAGAATTTTTTCCTTTTAGATTTTGAAGTTATGTTTCGAGATAATTTTTATTAGTGTT